CGGACCCACTCATATCATCAGGAAACACAATGTACATGCAATTCGTATCAGATGGATCAGATAACAGGATGGGGTTCAAGTTTCAGTATTCTGGTTTGGGTATGTAATATTAACTTATTTATACTACCACAAGATTATAGACATTTCTTTTCCTGTATTATTATGTGTCGGTATCTCTACACTGAAATAATACATGTTCGATTTAAACGTCAACGCAATGAAGGCGACAACTAGCTGCGTAAAATTACTACGCAAATGATTTTTACTGATTTCTTGCTTATGTCTTGTAATTGTAGCCAGAACGGTGGAAATAGACCGCATCGACCATATGTCATTTACTTCCGAACCTGAAAATATAACATTAGAATTGACACAGTCTGTTACACAACACTGTGCAGTCGATGACAACGAGGCTACGGTTACGTGGTATAAAGATGACGTCTTACTGCCACACGGTAAGTTATGCTTGGGCGACATGAAGTTGAGTGTGTGTTTTATGATCGACGTAAATCAAATTTCAAGGATCATTGTGACATTTTTACAAAAAATAGTAACTTCCTATTGATCACTTTGGTAGTCCGGGTTCTATGGTAACATGATTGCTAAATGATTGCTGGTCACTAAAACAGAGCTGTCACCAAATTATATGGTTCTAACAAACGTATTAACACTAACATTACAGTATTACTTATTGCACATCGAAGTTTTCGATCGCAAAGAAAAAAATAAATGATCCGCATACACAAACATGAAGAATAACACTTACTTTCACGAAATATTTGTAAAATAGGTTGTGTTCAAAAGTTAGTGCAGCCGATTTGATTTTTCCTTAGAATTTGTAAAATATTACTTGGCCCAAAGGTTATCATTGTACTTTGGACTAGTAGTCCATTTGCCACTCTTAAATAACATATACACTTATAACGTATCATTTTAAATATTTATATTTAGGAAAAGTGTGAAAACCTAAGAAACTGGTCACAGAGTCGCAAGTATTTGTTGTAAGGTGACCAAAAACGCAAATCTCCGGTTATTGATTACAATTTCCTGCTGGAATTTGTGTTCCTAGATTGTTAAAATAACTAAATATTAAAATAATGTCGAATTTATAAAATAATTATGTATATATAGATTGCATGTGAAAATTGATATGCAGTGCAATGACGTCATAGATATGTCGGAATATTTTACAACCCGACAACATTATCGCAAGTTCTTCCAGTATCCTGCCAGTGTGTAAAGTTATGCACAAAACGAATTAAATCCTGAAATAAATAAATAATAATGTTTTTCAGAATGTCTGAAAGAATTTGTATTATGTACTTGCAGGTGAAACTAACGGAATATACATATTTGACGGCGGATTACTGGTAATTCCCGTGGCTGAACCGCGACATGTTGGTAAATATACTTGTGTAGCTGTCAACGCAGATGGAGACACGGTGCAGAAACATGGTTACCATGGTGAGTGTGTTGTTTCATCATGTTTCACCATTTTGAACAATAGTGTCGGAGGACGCCGATTTTCCATACCCAAGTTTTTTTTCATCGAATTGTGTCGAATACGGCAACCGAGGTGGCTCACAACATGGCATTTTATAAAACCATTTTTACAATTCATTTACATTTTGAAAACTCATTTTTATTTTGTTATAATCCTTTTTTAAACACCATTTTCGGTTATGGAATCGATTTTTAAAACCCACTTTCGTTTCTGGTTTCTGTTTTTATTTTAAAAAACAATTGTTAAAATCCATTTTCATTTTTGGAATCCGTTTTCATTTTTAAAATCCATTTTCATTTTCAAAATCCATTTTCGTTTTTAAAATCTGTTTTCATTTTTAAAATCTCGTTTTCAAATTCCATTTTCATTTTTAAAATCCATTTTCGTTTTCAAAATCCATTTTCATTTTCACTTTTTGATCTGTGACCTCTCCCTCTGACCTCATACTGCGTGACTAAGAATTATAACTCGGATTCTGGCATTTTTGTTATTTCCACCAGTGACGTTTCCATGATATTGACTATAACCTATTTGGCACAGCAGATCCATAGCTATAACTTCTTCTAATCTGAGTATCAACGTTACAGCTGATACAATGAGAGCTCCAAGGTTGATTAGAATAAGTTATAGCCATGGTTTTGCTGCGTTTTGGTACCAGGTAGGGTATTGTCGGTAAACAAGACAGCGTCGTCGGTGGACAAGCCTGACTACAAATGCATTCAACGCCAAAGTGTAAGCCGACCGATGAAGCCAAGAACACTTTATGGACCAAAATCGCCGCGGAACCACGGATAAAGTTATAGCCTGAAGAATAACTTACGTAAAGAAGCCTTACCAAGGAAACATCACTGGTGGAAATAAAAAAAAAACACTACCAGGTCAAGTTGAAATGATATACAAAACACATGAGAATCTTTAGTGAAAAAAGAATAGGCGATAGGCGGGAAACAACAGCGATTTTTATGTAAATTCTGATGGAAAATTTGCTTCAACGTGAAAAATACGTATATACCTATACTTCAAATGTCAACAAAAGAGTGAAAATGGATTTTTCAAATAAAAACGGATTAGTCAGGTAAAAACAAAAACGGATTTTAAAAATGAAAATGGATTAAAAAAAAGAAAATGGATTTTAAAAATGAAAATGGATTTTGAAAATGAAAACGGATTTTAAAAATGAAAATGGATTTTGAAAACGAAAATGGATTTTGAAATTAAAAACGGATTTTGAAAATGAAAATGGATTTAAACAATTGTTTTTTAAAATAAAGACATCTCAGAAACGAAAGTGGGTTTTAAAAATCGATTTCAAAACCGAAAATGGTTATTTAAAAGGAATTATAAAATTAAAATGAATTGTAAAAATGGTTTTATAAAATGTCATGTTGTGAGCCACCTCGGTTGCCGTAGTCGAATAATACATAAATAACAAAAACATACCTCTTTTCTTTATAAATATTTATAGATTTTGGGTAGGGTGGGGTACAGACTTCAAGCTTGGCAAACATACCACCCACATGACACAGCAATCTTTTTGTGACAAACGGTCAAAGCTCAGAATTGAATTTCGGGACACGACTCGTATGACCTTGTTACATTTTCGGGCAAAGGTCCAGGACATGATTTAATAAAATATAATATGTATTTTCTGTGACTGTTTTGAACTTTTAATAGAATAACATTAGAACGTTTTCAAATGACGTCATTGAAATATATAAATATTTATAAAAATGAAGGAAATGCATTTGCTGCGCGAAGAGTAATCACATTTTATTTTTATTTGGACAGTTCTGTACGATGTATTTCAACAAAGACCACTAAATGCAGCTGCGGCTGAAGACGGAAGCCAAATATTCCACTGTCAGGCAAGGGCAGCAACTACCATTGAATGGCACAAAGACGACATCGCTATCGATTTCAGTGCCAATATATTTGCCCTTCCGAATGGGGACCTGCTGATACATGGTTTGGTCGGCTCGGATGCAGGGAAATACACCTGTCTAGCTAAAGGACCTGATGGCGAAACATTGGCAGAATCATCAGCCTGGCTGACTGTTACTCCGACAAGGCCTATTTCAGAAAGTGAGTACAAATGTTAGTAATCTTAGTAGGTAGTGGCATAAATATAAACAGTTTTCTTGGAAACTTTATTGTATTATTGTTGTTAGTTTGCTACCAATAAAACACATTCAGAAATCCTGCAAGGCGTGGGTTACTATTATGATAACGTACACATTTCTGAAATAAAAATATAGGGTCATTGCACTAAGTGTTTCACAAAACGACCTCAAACATTGATCAAAAATGCATTTTTTTGAATAGTATAAGTTATCCCTGGAATTATGTGTTTATTACATGTACACGGAATCCTATGGAAAATGTTCCAACATTACCACTTTTTAGCTCCGCTGTCGACTTTGTCGAGCGAAGCTTATCATATGAGTTGTCCGTCGTCGTCCGTCGTCCGCGCCTTTCTTCTTTTCTTCTTGGAAACTATTAGTCTGAATGCTTTGATACTTAGTGTATATGTACCTTGGGTAGACCTCTCTCAGATTTGTTTATTTCATGATCATATCTTCAATTTTCTAATTTTGGTAAATATTTTTGGTAAAAAGTGATATTTTCGACTTCTTGTTAAAAACCGCAAGTCCGATTGCTCTGATATTACATATATAGGTACTACATGTGGACCTCTCTCAGATTTGTTAAATTTTGTGATGATATCTTTAATTCTCTAATTTTGGTGAATATTTTTGATGAAAAGTGATATTTTCGACTTCTTGTTAAAAACCGCAAGTCTGATTGCTTTGATACTACATATATAGGTACCTCAGGTAAACCTCCCTCAGATTTGTTCATTTCGTGATGATATCATAAATTCTCTAATTTTTGTGAATATTTTTGGTAAAAAGTGATATTTTCGAATTCTTGTAGGAAACCGCAAGTCTGTTTGCTTTTATTCAATACTATACATATTGTTCATTTTCTAATATCTTCAGTTCTTTAATTGAAATGTGTATTGCTAACAGCGGAGCTATCTCAGCCGACTAGCTGCTTGTTATATATTATTTTGCACATGTTTTCTCACACGCTTCTTTCTCCGCAAACAACTTTAAATATGAATGACGTGCATGTATGTGAATCATTACACAGCATTTTTTAATGATTTACTGTGATCCACCCCTCCCCCATGTTTTAAAGATGACGAACTAATTTAAGCGTTACTTTAGCTATCCCAAACTAAAAACGCTGTATTGTCCACACATTCAATAAATTATATTCCCTTGAACGAAGAAAATGACGTTGCATGTGGAACGTGCACGTATTTCCAGATTCATCGACTTTGACTGACTTTGTATCTCTTATAGTATGTGGCCAGGTACTTGTTGGTGCTGACATGGAAACTGAAAATGACGAATTGGAAGAAGATCGAGAGGCTGATGACAACTTTCGCATTGTAGGTGGGGAGACATCTCGCAAAGGGTCGGCACCTTGGATGGCTCGGCTATGGGACAACCGTAAAAGCAAACACTTCTGTGGAGGTAGTGTACTAAACAATTGGTGGGTAGTCACAGCCGCTCACTGTATCACCAAACAGGGCGTTGATGCATCTACTCTCTTTATACGATTGGGCGATTATGATGACGTGGAATTGGAAAATGAAGAGATTCTTCACGAAGTAGACGAGATAATTGTACACCCCGATTACAGGGGCAGCACTTTTGACTCGGATATTGCTCTGATACGTCTGGCAAACAAAGTCACTTTCACGGATCACATTTTGCCAGTTTGCTTGCCACCACGAGAGGTGGCTATGTCGATGCTGAAGAAGGGAACGATGGGACGTGTCTTGGGGTGGGGAAGCATCCGGGAAGGAGGGACATATCCACGGTACTTGAAAGAAGTGGAGCTACCGGTAAGAAGGATAGGTGAATGTCGCAAATCAACAAGATTTAGCGTCACAACGAACATGTTCTGTGCTGGCTACAAACTTGAAATGCGGGGTGATTCATGTAAGGGTGACAGCGGTGGTCCGATGGTACAACGAAGTACAGAGAATAAATGGCAGCTCGTTGGGATTGTCAGCTGGGGGGAAGGGTGTGCGGAAAGAGACAAGTTCGGATTTTACACCAAAGTGTACAAGTTCAACCAATGGATCCAAGGCACCATTAGAGAGTAATCTACCGTTCACATTTGTCACTTTTTTTTCTAACCTATTGTGCAATACCCAGGCACGTCGGTTTGTTTTTAAATCGGATGTTGGTGTGTATATATTATTTATGTATCAATATATATATGAACAAAAATAAACAAGTCATTGTCAATGACACGTCCCCGTTCCGTTCATACTAGTATTTGAGTGACATATACATTCAAAGCAGATCATGACCGAAAAAAAATGACGTGCATTGTCGCATACGACTTATTTGTCACTGAGTATGTTCTAGAACCGTACTGTGTCTGGGTGGAATATTCTATATTTTTTAGAAATGGTTGAATAGGTAATAGAACACTGTAGGAGGCAATAGAAGGTAATGGAACATTCTAGAAAGTTGTAGTAAGTTCCAGACTCATTATGTATGCTGATGTAATGGTCTATTTATAGACAGTGGGGGGTATATATAGGGGAGTTGTTCAGCACTGAGTTCAGATCGGAGATCTCGTTGAATTGTATTGGAGTTTAAGTATCTAGTTATTGGAGTAGTGGAGTTTTACCGCGTTATTGTACTTGGTGTTTGCAGAGTATAATAATACCAGTACCAGTTGAAACCTCATCTGTTGGCTCCGTGTTCGTATGTTATCATCGCCGCCAGGAAAGTCTTTCTGTTACTGTTGCCATTTTGGTATTTGAACCATCACACCTGTACTATACCAATTACGGTAATATTACGTTGCGTGTGACATGCATCAAGGTCCTATTACGTTTAATGTATGTACCAAATTTGACAAAATCCGTCCATGCATAACTGAGATCCGGGTCCGGAATGGTGAAAATGTGCGATTTTGATGCATTTTCGGCCTTAAAATGGTCGCTATTCGGCTATCGTTAATCGAATCATGGAAAAAATGCATGTGCATATGTCCCATATAATGTGTGATGTATGAGTGAAGTTTGAACTTAATCGGCCCATGCATGTTCGAGATACAGGTGATCACGGACGCACACAGGGAAAAACATAAGTCCCCGTTTTCGGACTACGTCCGAACGGGGACTAATAATGATTTCTCAATTCATTGAAATATCATTTCTTTCCAATAACTTGTTTTACATGCTTACATATAACAGAAATGTTATATTACTGGAACTCAGATGTTCAATGCATTCTAAAGCGATGTTGTTTATTTATGTATTGGAGAAAATTAAATTTGAACAACCCCATCAGCATGAATAAAAGATGGTAGGATCGGGAGTACGTTGTTTGAGGAAACCAGGTAGTATTGGGATAGCAGTGGTAATCGTCACTTGGGAACCGGCAGCGCCAGCTGACGTCAGTCACATGATGTGTAGCTCGGAGTGGAACTTGACCAGTGCACGTGTTAAGAATTGATTATATGCCAACATCACGTTTGATTTAAAGCTCATCCGACCAATCACGTTCGACTTTTGCATTTTTTCATGGACGCAAACTGTCCATTCAACATGCTAATTTCTGTTTACACAAAATATGAATAATTTCAAATTTGGTAACTTGTAAATATTTCAATGGGATTGAGTGTTTTGAGATAAACAACCTCAACGTCGTTCATATAGCAAATAGTAAAGTGACTTTCGTACTTTTATAATAGATGTCCTGGGGGAATTGTTATTTCATCATGTTCATTTCTAGTTCTTGTAGTCGTGGCAATAAAGAATGACGCGTTAGTTATGATAAAAAAATACTGTAAAAAACAACAGATCAGATTTGCGCCCGTGAAAGTCAAATGACTAGAATACATCCGTCTTATGATCCAAACACATTTTCAAACGTCACTGAAATTTGCGACAAATCACCACCACTGAAACAGATTTAAAATACTGACGATTGTGAATCTTTTACGTATATTCATTAACATACTAGTAGAATTTGTGGTCAATTCTAAACAGGCAGACCTTATGAAGCACATACTGATAGATTACCTGTTTTGGTTTTGTTGTAGCTCCAATCACTTCTTTGGCCAACTCGCAGTTTTAGCCAAGCTGCAATCAGCAAAGAAATAGAGTTTCGTTTTTTCTATTGAAAAGTATTGAAATTCAGCACTGTGCACTGGCAATAAAACTAATATCATTTTTTGTGGTTCAAGTCCGAAAGACTCAAAAGTATTAAGATTTAAACTAGTGCTTCATGCAATTTTCTAGACTCTGACCAAGACGGTCGATTTATATCTGTCATACCCATCTACCGGTATGTGCGCCATGTACCTTCGGGTTATTTTCCAATCTGATCATCTACTATTGTTCATCTACACAAAAGAGTTACAACATAAAATACACATGTAATACCATTGATTAGGTTTGTGTAAAATTCACCCAAAACTGGTGAAACTCTCCAAATTCATGGTATAACAGTTAAAAGGTTACTCGCATGTTTACCTACTAATGCAAAAACATGTTTTTTATTCTCAAGCTTATTCTCACATGAACAATTTGAATGTTTTTTGATATGTTTATAAATCCTGTACAAATGCTACTAGTATTTTTTAACAATTTTCTACATGTGAAGTTTAATCTCGAAATTTGTTAATTTTTCTGCTTAATTTCCGACACATTTATTGTCCATGTTGAAAATTATGTAAATGGTGCAATAGACAAATCACGGTACACATTTCCTTTCAAGGTACTGTGGATGACTGTTTATGCAGTTAATTATAACTGATTAAAAATTTAGGCATTACAATTGAGGTACATTTTCAAATAATGATCATTATGAAAGAAAAAACATAGCGTAACTATTACAACCTTGTCCATTGAAAATCTAGATTAAACAAATGGATATATACAGATACAAACTACGCAATATCTTTTCTTTGCATGGCGAATGAGAGTATAACAGTCCTGAAATAACGCAATAATATCTCAACATTTTGCTTGCAAAATTCTAGCTAAAGTTTATGTGGGAACAATCTTTACAAAAGATAAACAAGAAAATTAAATTTGTCATAATGGCATAAAACATAATAATTTATGTACTGTATTCATCTTGGTGACTCTTGTAGAATAACACATGAATTGTATAAAGTTCCTAAAAACATAATAGTACAGCAATATTTCAACCAAATATTGGCAAGGAAAATACTGTACATGTTCCTTGATTCAAGCATGTTCCTCAGATTTGAAGGTGACTGGAAAAAACCTGCACTTAACACAATTATAAAAGTATCTAATTGACAGAGCCTGGAGATCATATTACTAAGATCTGGTTCTCATTATCAACAGTTGAATGCTTTATTTCAGTCAAATTTCACCCGATTCCTTGAAAATTGCACTGGCTAGCTATACCAAAATTTAACTTAGTTCACATTTCTTAAAGATGGATAGGATTCCAAAATTTGAAGATCAGATGAAAATTGTTACGGTAACCACAAGACGACAATTTTAAGTAAATCTATTGATTATCTTGAGTAGTTGTAGCAAGATACCTTGACCTTCATCTACAATGGTATGGATAAGGTAATAAAATGGTAAAGAAAATCGGTTCATAGATTTTTGCTTCAGTACTGAAATGAACAAATCTGATGACAAAACAAAAACATAACATAATACAACTTTATTTCACCAAAAGTCTGTAAAAATTTTGAAGGTGAATCTTGGTGACTTTCAACCGTGTGAATGTCCTTAAATTATAAAATCGTCAATGTCCAGCGATGATAATTTACTGCTTACAAAAGTCAGTATGGTTCACATGACTGTACCAAGATCATGGAACTCAAGACTCATTGACATGCCATTTGTAAATAAATTTACGTTTCCTGTTCTTTCTTTTTAAGTTTAATAATAACAATACTATTTTTAGCTTCTTTAATTCTCCACCATCTTCCCAGTTTATGTTCTTGTCCAACACCAGCCACTAGCATACTACCGTCATTAGAAAACTTCAGAGCATTCACAAATCCAATCTACAAGAGAAAAGAATAAATGCGTTGATTCACATTCTGGTTGTGTTTAATAGAACAGCGCCCTCAAACAGCAAGTCAAGTTGTTGGTTTTTCCTCATCACATCAGCAAAACTACTTTGTTATTTTTTGACAAATAAACTGAATAACATAATTACAAAATTATGATAAAAAAATCATACGTGTAAGTGAAAATGGAAAAGAAAAAAAACACATTGGAAGACACACACTTAATACTGCACATAATATCAAACAGGAATATTTGTGAAAGACAACAATTGACAATGGTGATGAAATTGTTGGGGTTGTTTTCTGATTATGTTATACTGATTATATCTAAAAAACTTGCATGTGTTATAAAATAAACACTGACATAAACAAAAGTTTGAAACATAAAACCCCTAGAGGGCGTTAGTTGTAAACTTTATATACTAGTACATTGTCATTGCACAATTGTTATACACAGTCCAGTAGCTACAAATTGTGTCTAACCTGTTACTAATTGCAACAAAAAATATTTTTATGGTAACAGGTTACGAATATCCTTCTAAAACACAACAAAAATCTAAGTAGGGGAAAGTCAATGATTGACAGGGTCATTAATATTCCACCAGTCAGAGTAAAGATCAAAATTAGAGTTAGATTCGTCTCGATCGATTATACATTTCACATTATTCTTTGATGTTGGCATTGCAAGAATACTAGGCTATACATCGCTTTGGGAATACCGAGAGGTCATTGATGCATACACTTCTAGTCGCAATGTTTGTGCGAGTGTTGCTCTATCAAATCACTGACTGGCAACTCTCGACAGGCAAGCGTCGTCTGGCCAGCTTTGAACAGTTTTCCACGGTTATCTGATTTTTCTATCTTTCACCCAACCTGCAATACAAATGCACTCCCGAGTTCTTGGTGACACAGTAGTGAAGCTTGTTTTTTGTCAACATGGCAGCGATTGCTTGCCCGCCATTTGGGGTTATCAAATTTGTAACATCTCATGCTCATTAATATTAATAGGAAGGAAACCCTTGCATAGGTCACAAATCTCTTGTTTATTTTGTGGTGACCCGGCTTTTATACACTCCCATATTTTATTTCATTGAAAAAACAAATCAAAGAAAGCTTAGAAAGAACTCCCATGTGCTGAGAGTATTGGAGACACATTAAATATAATTCGAAATTAATTAGCTGTAAACTAATTATGCAAATCAGAAAATTAATATGAACAGATTTGAGTGTAAAACTAATGAGGTCTGCGCAATGTAACAGAAAATCTATGTTTCCAAGTTTAATTGAAATGTGATTAGAACCAAAAGAATATGAATTATTATGCTTATTAGGGAATTAATATGAACAGATTTTTACCCCAAACTAATTAGGTTTGTACATTGTCCTAGAGCATCTTTGTACTAAGTTTCATTGAAATGGAATAATTAGTACTTTAGATATCAATGTGAAAGCTTAAAATTGGTTAATTAAGCAAATTAGGTAATTAATATGTACAGATTTTAACCCACAATTATCCAGGTCTGTCTATTGTCCTACAGCATCCATGTACAGTAAAACCTGTCAAAACCGACCATGACTGGGACTGGGATCTATGGTCGGTTTTCAGAGGGAGTCGGTTTATTCAGGGTGGGCGTGACTTTGATTGAAACAACAATTACATGTGCTGTAAACACGGGACAAATGAAAGACATCGGAGTTTGCCTCCGGCGATTCTACATGTATTTACAATGTGCATTTATTGTATTGTTTCAATAAAATAATTTACCAAACAAGACAAAAATATTATGGTATGTACATGACAT